CAGATATTTGCAAGGGAACGTGGTGCCAAAGACCCATCAGCCAAAGCATCTGTGGAGGAAGCTGCCCCTCGTTTGTCCGGACCCTGAGACGGTGACAATTTCTTCCTGTTGCAGCAAAGGCAGGAATTTTAGAAACGCCGTGGAGAGCAAACAGCCGCCCTCAGGCAGCACAGGGCTCCGGGCCACTCTCACTCCCTCGGACTGCTCCCAAACCCTCCGCACAAGCACGGGAGCACGCTGCCCTCCCCACTGCGACCTTCCAGCAGGCACCCAGCTTTGAGACATCTGCAGAGGCATGTCTGCCCCCGGCTCTGCAACATCTGTCCAGCTGTGCTCGCACCCAGCTGTGTCCTCACCAACAGCTGAATGCGGTGCTGCTCTTTTGAGAGCTGTGCTTTGAAGAGCAAGTATCTACAGGAGCTGTTTCTAGGAATGGGGCAGTGAAGACCTTTGTGCTTTTAGTTGTCACTACTCACAGGTTTCCAGCTGTGAGGGAGGCTTGGATGGAAAGGAATGCCAAGTTAATGTCTCAGGAATGTTTTGAGGTTTTTTTCCTTTTAGTCTGGAAAATGCAGCTTAATTCAGCCCCCCCTTTGCTCCCCAGACTCTTCTTTGGGGGAACATCTTCTGGTGGGCAGGTGTTTACAGAGAAGCAAATGCACTCAAACATATTTGGACAGAGCTTCTTAATGTGCAGTGGGTGCAGGACTGTTGCTGCTTTAATGACAGGGAATGCAATAAGAGTTTTGTGTGCCCGAGCCCAGCCATCTCTAGGGATGATTTTGGCTAATCCTAAAGGGAAGAGTGACCACAGTGGAGCAACAGCTTCCCATAGAGGCAGATTGGTATTCTGATGCCTTTCTCCTGAGGGTCACTGGGTGCAGGATACCATCTGCAGCATCCCCCCTGGGCAGGGTTAACACCAGCAGGCCCAGGCAGGCAGGAGCAGACAGCCACCCGCTGGGATGCAGGAGACGCTTCAGTCCTGAACTCCTTGCAGGGGATGATGTCACCAATATGTGGCTGTTTCCAATCTCCAGCTGCTGGTAGGAGGCCCCATTACCAACCGTCTGAGCATTTCAGGCTGTTGGAAAATGTACAAGGAGGGCCAACACTGTGCATCTGGACAGATCAGCCTGCAAGCAGGCTTTTAAAAATGATTGACTGAAAAACTGATGATGGGATAAATATCTGTGTTAAACTCATCAATAGGAACCAGTCAGGGCAGCCAAAGGTTTGTAAACAGCCACAAATGTGTTCAGATTCACAGAATCAAAAAACATCTTGAGCTAAAGGGACCCAGGATCTTCAAGTCCAACTCTTCAGTGAATGGCCCCTTCCAGGGACTGAACCCACAACCCTTGGTATTATTAGCACCAGGCTCTAACCAAGAGCTGATCTCAGGGGTATCATAAAAGTACTCCAAGAACTACATGTTGTACCACAAAGCAGACCCTTCTGAAGCCACCAGTGGGAATGGGGTCTGGCATCTGCAAGACTAAAAGAACAAACCTTTGCTGCTTGTGCAAAGGCAAAAAGTGACCATCAGAGGAGCCGTATGTTAGTGACAACCATGAAGGATCCCATCACCGGCTCCAACACAACAGAGGCCATCATTTCATCTTAGAAGACTTTCTGTCACTCACTACCATAGCCTGGGGACCCCAAAACTTGCAGATGTCAAGCAAAGCACACGACTTTGTTGCCCTAAGATGCTCAGCTTGTAGATCTAGTCAGTAGCTACAAAAATTTTAACTCAGGCTTCCTCGAATTAGTAGAAACTTATTAAATCACAGATTTTAATTTGATTCAGCAATTCACCACTGTAATTCTAAGATAGAGAGCTTATGGAAATGACCATTGAGGAGAATTAATTTGTTATGAGAAGAAAATGAGACAAACCAAAATAAAATATATTTCTAGTCTGTACTTAGTATCCCTATTACTTATGTTCAAAAGGATCATGAAGGATCCAAACAGAGAGAAGGAGGCAGAGATGAAGAAAAGCATTTGAAACTTCTATGAAACACTTTGCTGAGAATTGTTGAGCACCCAAGAGCACCCCTAGTAACCCATGTCTGCAGAACCAGACAGCAGTGCTGGAGATAAAGCCTTCAAGATACTCAAACTCTTGAACCATGGCTTGACATTAAGTTCTGTGTCAAACCAAAAGCACAGTGACCTAAAAGTCTTGCACCCATTCCTATTTCTTTGGAAACGCTTGCTGTATTATCTTTGTGCCTGTGGAACACGTGCATCACATCTGACTATGCTACCCTGAAATCTCCACACTGAACTCCTCCAGATCTTTTCCATACATTTATTCAACATGCAGAGCTGCTCTGTGGCCTGGATTCCGGCATGTCCCACAGCAGCAGGCTGAGCCCTGACCTCATACACAGCCAAAGCTATGGGAGGGTTACCCCTCCTCCAGGACTTGCCCTGCGCTGGGAGGCCTGACCACACTGCTCGAGTCAGGGATTCTTCCCTCCAGCACCGGGGTCTCTTCTCTCCCATGTTTAAGGGCAGACTTGCCTCAGCCTTTTGTGCCTGCCTTTTGCTCAGATGAAGGCTGGCATCAGTGTGAAGAAAGCCACAGGATGCTCCAGTGGGGCTACCCCAAGCAAGACCCTCCCTGGGACAGGTCAGACAGGCAAAAGGCACCTGAACAACCCTGTTCCAGTGCCTTGAAACAGCTTTCCTCCCATGTCCTACATGGTACTCCAGCCTCTTCGCTTACTCTCCTCCCTCTTCGCTTACTCTCCTCCCTCCTGCACACTCTAGGCTGGTACTGTACACTGCAAAAGCCCCTCAGCGAGCAGATTTATGGTCTAAGCACAACAGACGTGCAGGAGCAGTAATTTATACAGCGCTTAAACACTCAGCAGTGAAATCACACACCACCTACCTCCTTCCCCCAGCCAGCCACTCTCAGGGAAACACATGAAGTGGGCTTTAACAGCTCCACATAGTGCTTTGGCATCTGCCGAGGGATTTCTTGCCAGCTTCTCCACCAGCCCTTTCTTGGCTGCTTCTCCTTGGGCACTGTGTGGTTTGCTGCAGCAGACAGCAGTGTGGTCTCCCCTTGGCTCCTGCTGTGCTGTGCTGGCACGTAGCACATCACCATTTAGTTGACTTGAGAAGAAGTGAGAAGGAAACCATTCTGCCATCACTGAGCCCCTTGCTCAGCCAGCATGGGGGAATATTACCTTCCTACCTGTGCCTCTATCCGTGAGGATCCAGCAGGGCATCTGGTGTGCAGCAGGCCCAGGAAGCCAAACTCATTTGAGAGGTTCAACCACCCTTGTGCTCAGGTGTTGGCTGTGTGCCACTATGTGCTGCTGAAGCCAAAAGATCTGTCCATCAAGGAGACAGGGCACACTGCAAGAAGGTCTTGCCTGATTGCTGCTGAAATCTCCTCCATCATCTTCCCATGTCCCAGGGTTGGCAAAGGAGGGGGCCTGTGACAGCCAGATGCCAAATAACTAGGGCAACATCTGTGTACAGGAACTTGCCCTTAGTTTATCCAGCAAGCAAAGGGGGGAGGATTGGGAAAAAAACCCCGCAGATCTAAGGTGGTGTTTCCTCCCAAATTTCATCTGAAGCCTGCTACCATCATTTGTCACTATTGTCTAGAAGAGCCAGTATGCTCAAGGTGTCTGACCACATTATCACTGCTGTATGCAAACTGCAGTGTGTGTTTGACAAGGGCAATATTCATCCCCAGTACCCATACATTTAGAGGGGAAGGGGACAGGAACTGGCTGTAAAAATGCTGCTCAGGAGAAGACCCATGCTGTCATAACTGGCTATCCGGGAGGCCAGAAATAAGCGTGGAGGTTTCAGAGTAGCAGCATAGGCAGACACGATGCACCCTACCAGCCCAGGTTTTGCATGCCAGTTTGTCCTTCCTCAACAGGAACTCAGTGCTGAGTAGCTTACAGAAATCTGCTTCAAAAGGCTAAAGAGGTCTTGAGCCCCAGGATGAAATCACAACAGTTGTAATTCCAGCCGTTTGTGTGTTCCACCCTCCGGCAGGAAGATATTTTATCAAATAAGTTACTGAAAAGCCAGTTTGTCCAATAAAACTGAGAAGATGATAAAAGGCAATGGGGCTGTCTGTGTAACTAAGTTAAAAAAGTATACATATCCATATATCCATATGCATACACACACACACACACACACACACACACACAGATATATACTTTTACTGTAGTTCTGTGTGTGGAGTGAAGCGCTAAGTGATAGAGAACCAGTTTTGAAAGGCGGTAGGACCAATCTGTGCTACTGCTCTAAGGTAGTTTTAAACTTAGTTGGAACGCACGCAGTGGCAAATGGGAAACCTGTATTGCCTCTAATGGAATGTCCACATGAGAAATGGCTCTGAACTTACCAGTCAGAAGGCACCATCAATAGAACTGAGTATGTGGGGGTTTGACTGAGTCCTGTTCTACCTAACAGACCAAGATAGTTAATAATGAAGTTGCAGTTTCAGGGAGGAAAGACTAGTTCATCTGACATGAGATATAGAACACATTTGTACTACATTAGAACAGTGTAGGGAGATTTCCCTCAATACAAAAAGTAAATGAAGACACAAGTGAAAAAAAATTGGAAATAGTTTATTTGCTGCATAAGGAAATGTCTTGTAAATTACATATAAAGAAACTTGTTATGCTGTAGTATATAATTTCCAATATTCCACAAAGATAATTGTAATAAATATACAAACCAAACTGAAGTAGAAGACTAAATCCATCAGGCAACCTACAAAATGGTTCATCAAGTTTTATACTTGCAGCATTAGCATGCTTAAAATCTTGTTCTTTTTGAAGTGGTGCAGCAAAATTCTTTTCACATTTCTTTGGAGCATTTTCAAAGCTGTCTAACTACAAAATACTGTTCAAAATTAGCCAGCATTAATTAAACCACTCAAGAAAAGTAACACCAAGTTCTAAGTGATGCAAAAGTGTCATTTTTCTTCTTGCTTTTAAAATTCATTTAGTTTTGCCAGAGTTAGGAATTATCTGATATAAGTGCACTATGAGTCCAGTCAACCTGAGGCACTGCCGACTCTTGTCATACTATGACTCTACATAAACTTCATAGATTATATAGCTCTGAAAGGTTTCTCCATTAATAGAGACATATCCCCATAGAATAAAAAAAAACAATACCATATTGAAGCTGCAAGCTAGTTAAATTGGTTGTACCCTCAAGTGCAGTGTGTGCTTAGAAACGTTTTTCTGTAATTTCATTCTATCCCACACCAGATATTTTTATTTGACTTTAAATTTAGAAGTGCTGATAAAGGCTTTACTGATGCTCCTAGCCTCTAGAAACAACATTGAGAATTTTTTTGACACCTTCTGCTGTTCTCTATCTATAGTTCCTAAATTTTTTTGAAACAGCAGTCTGAATTGCATTTTAGACTTCACTGTTCTGGACCACACTGACAGACAGGTCTATTATTCCATACAAATCTCTTACAAACTGAAAACACTTCACTATGCTTCACTATTACTGAATACCTGGGGGTATAAAAAGAAACTCCCTAAAACACAATTACCTAAAAATATTTGTTAATAAGCTTAATGCAAATATTATGTAGAAAAAATGGTTTAGTTACAAAAAAATTCATTAGAGGGCCAATAAAAATATACTGAAGAGAAGATCTTTACAAAAGTGAGGTTAGGAAGTATGAGGCATTGACATTCACTGTAAACATCCTGTGTTCACTAGAATCCCTTGTCTAAAGTACATGTTCTGGTTTTGTTCCTGAGCTTCATGGCCAATACTTGCATAGACAGCTAAACCTATCATAAAGGGTTGTTTATACAAACAGTTCTGCTTGTACAGAACTTCAACAAACTAATGCTTTTACCTTTTGAAATAGTTTCATTCCACTACCAGGTAGTTAAGGAAACTCTGAAGTATGGTATGATTTTTGTGTACTCAGTGCATTGGGTGGACTGGGACAGCTACCTCATAGTTTGTTAATCTTAAATAATATTCCACTAAGAAGTGTAGCTGTTTGACGTTCTGGCTTAGCATAAATATCTACTCCTGCTCACTGCTGCAAGGGTTGCTTCTGCTCTGCCAAAGACTGCATATGGCAAAATGTCAGGAATCTGAGTGCTACAGCATCAAACATCCCCAGTAACAAGATGCAGCTTATAATCAGTACAGAAGACCCCACAGAGAATTTCACCTTTACCCAGGCAACACGAATACTTTCCTCCAGGCTAACCTGCTTCAGTTGGAGGAAGCCAAAAAGTACTTATAGGGTAAACACAACATGGAGTGGCCTAAGTAAAAAGCCTGAAGAACATACTTGCATTTCGGACATGAAAAGCAGGCATGTGTTTAGTTACTGCACATGGAAATGCACATGGAAGTGGTACAGACGGACAATTATATCCCCCTCACAAACAGCACAATAACACAAAAGCAGCAAATTGCCAATTTTAAATCTTATGTTAAGGCAAATCTAGATAAACAACCATAACAGGATTAATAAAAATAGGGAGTTTTCCTTGGCTTTTTCTTTGTTTACTTTTTCTGTGATTGGCTTTTACACATCGATAAAATCTGTTTAAGCACTTTCTGGACATCTTCATCCATTTGACCCTAGACAAGGGGGAAAAGAAGAAAAGATGATTGAATTCAAACAGCTCTCTACTCTTTAAGAATACTGAGAAACAATTTTTGAGGTATAGTAATTAGATCCATTTCCCAAATGGAGCTTGGTTTGTGCTTGAACTGTCATACCTTTTGGGAGGGATGTCTTAGATACAACATGCCAAGTTCTTACTAGATCTGCAGAAAAAGCATCTTTAATTAAAATACCAAGACTATGTGACTGACAACATGCAACCATACCTGCACAGCGTAGAGAAGATGCATCCTGTAAACCGAGACAATTTCCTGATGTTGTTTTTTTGTTTCCTAGAAAACAGTTAAGCAGAAAGGCACAGAGCATTCAGAACTATTGAATTCAGGACTCCTCAACTAGATCTATACAGGGAAAATTACAAACCAGTTTTATGCAATGCATTGAAAACCAGCTCCAACACTGCTGTGCCACTCTGTAGCCTAAAATTGCTCAGAAGCACATCCATGAAAATGCTGTAATTCCAACCATCCCAATAAAAAAGCTGGTGAGGTAACATCAGTGGTAAGAAGTGCTAAGGTGTGGAATGAGCACATACTCTACTTCCAAGCTTATCAGCAACCAGAATTGAGGAAAGCCAACAATATTCTGACCAATCAATTCTCAACTGCAGCTAAGCTCTTCCCTAAAGACAATGACCCATCTGTCAGCTAATGCCTTCCCAGGGAAAAAGAGGTGCTTACAAAGGTCTTAACCCACAAACCCCTCAGTTAAGGAAAGCCAGGCTCTTTTTTAATGATCACAGATTGCCACAACCCAGAAGCCATCTTTCCAAATAAACATGAAGCTGCTAGGAAAGCAAACCTACAAGAGGGAAAGAGTGATTCTATCCTGTTTTAAATGCAGTGTGTAACTGTCTGCCTAGTAGTTCTCCCTGCTGCAAGGGTGTTTTTCTGACTCTTCTTTCTTTCTGCTGGAGAAGGTAGGAAGGAGACACCACTCAAGCCATTTAGAATGTCAGTCTGGGAATTCTCCTTCCAGAGTCACTCCACAGCTCTTGACAAGGGCCTCTGGTGGGCAGTACTTCCTTTACATTCTCAAAAGTGAATTACAGTGCTCCTTTGGGCAGGCAAGCTCTTGGAAATACCCGTTAAGACTCAACCCAGCTTAGAGAATTGGACCTTTCGTACACAAACAAATATAATTAAAAAAACCCCTGTAAGCAGTTCAACATTTCAGAGAATAAACTGTGCTCTCCATAAACAGATGGATTTGCCTGATTTGGAACCTCATGCTTTCAGTGAGTACGTCTTCCAGAAAGCTTGATAAAACAAAACTACTTCAGCTAAGTAGCTGGCTAAGCACAAACCCCCTGCACACTGGTCATATTTTTGCACAAAACAGGGTCTCAGCAGCAGGTTTGGTCACTAGATTCCATCCTGAGAATTTTGTTTCTGTCTTGGCCTGAGAAAAATATGTGGGAAAACAGCTTTCTTTAGCTAGACTTTTTTCAAAGAGCAATTTTTGTGACTTGCAGATTCCTAGATGTTTCAGAGAAACAGAGCAATTACAGAATTTCTGGATGAAAATTCCCTCCCATGTACTCATTGATTGTATTCCACTTTAAATAAGAAGAGTGAAGAACAACACCTGTATCTTTGGAGAGCTGGGACTAACGTTAGGTTTACAAACTATCACACTTACAGTCAGTTGGTTTTGCAATTGCTTCACTTGTTGTTGTAACACCTCCAGCTGCTGGCTTTGTCTTTTGGGGGCACTGTTTGAGTAGGAAAGCTGAGAAAGGCTGTTCAGTGCTTCTTTTAATTTGCTTATTTCCTTGGACATTTCATTGATCTAGGGAGGCAAAAACCAGGTTTCATCAAAAGATCCAAGACAGACTGTGTTCCTGTGGGTCTCATCTCTGAGTTATTTGAGACTTCAATTTAATAAGCAGGGGGAAACCAAATTGTAAGTAACTCAATGGACAAACAGAGACATCATGTAAGCAAAGGGTTATAATGCTTCTCTATCTCCCATCCTAGTCCAGTCTATTCAAAATGCACTCCTTGTTCTGACAATCAGCAATATTTACAATGAAGGACTGCATTTACCACCTTTACAAATTCTGCTGCTGAAGACACAACCATAACAAACATAGGTCAGCTTTTCACAGCTAGCAAAAGGCATAGCTTTTTATAGAGAAATTTGTAGTGATAGAAATGGTTGCTGCAGAGGAAAATTAGTCAGATCATACTAAGTTTGAGATGATACAGTGATATCACAATAGTGAATTTTTTGCTCCTTCCTGATACTTTGTTTCCTTGTCTCCTCTGGAATCTCTTCCTGCTTTAAATCCCACTTTTTTTGACTTCAGTTGCCTGAATAGTGTGAACCCAACCTAAGCAGAACTTTAAATAGGTAAATTGAAAGACTATGTGTATCTCCACTTTAAACTCGAATTTTTGGATGGGCAAACACACTCAAAAGTTACACCACTATGTGACACTTGAAGCAACATGATCTATGAGGTCACTTGGGCACCACCCAACGTGTTTTGCAGTCTGAACTCATACTACCCCTGCACTGTAGTGAGTCACTGACCTTTTTATCTTTATCTTCTTCTAGTTTTGACGAGTTTTTCATTTCAAGAAGGGCTTCTTGAACTTGGTGGTACTTTTGCTGAAGATCAGTCACCTCACGTTCCTTTGCTTCAAGCAGAGTATGTATACCTTCCTTTGCTTCCTTCAAGTGCAAAATTTCATTTCTCAGTTTCAGAGCATCTAAGGACACGTTTTCCTTCTCTCGGATTACATCTTTCAGTTTGGATGACAAAACACTAACTTCACCCTCTAGTGATGATTGGAGCTTTTCATATGCATCCTTGGGTACCATAGCTTCATTGATTGCAGCTTTTTCTTCCAGTAACTCCTTCTCTAAGTTTCTTAATTCACCTTCCTTGTTGCTAAGCTGTTTTTTGAGCTCATTTATTTCCTCCTCCATTTCCTTTATAGTATTTCTGAGTGCACTAATCACCTGACGGTGTTCAGTAAGTGGCACGGAGTTTTGTTTCTGAGTGTCTAACAGTTGCTTTAGTTCTTCTGCTTCATCTAAGACTTTTGTGTACTGGGATTGCATTTCTGATAACTCATTTTCTGCTTTGTATTTCAAAGAATTTGTTACCTCCATCAGTTTCTCATGTTCTTCTCTAGGAATGTAGTCCAAAGCTATATCATCTAGAGTTTTTTTCTTCCTATAGTCTTCAAGCTCTGTTTGTGCTTCTTTGTACAACTGAGACAATTCACTAAGTTGTCTGTTGAGCTCATCTACCATTTTGTGCATCACATCTTTCATTTCTCCAGCTTCAGCACTAGATTCCAGCTGTGTCTGATTTGTCAGCTTGTCCTGTAGCCTTTTAATTTCCTCTTGCCCTTCTTTGTACCTCTCAATCAGCAATGCTTTCTCTTGATTAATGTTCTCAATAACTGAACAATATGAATTCTTCATTTCCTCACACTCTTCCACAGACAATTTGCTTGCTGCATTCTGCTCTCTGTCTTCAAACTTTTTCTGTAGCTCTCTAACTTTTTCTTTTTGTCTTTCGCTCTCCTCCAATGCTTTCTTCAATTCTTGCTTAAGTGTTTCAACTTCTGCATATGTAACTTTTAACATGCTCAGATCAGAACTGGTTTCTTCACTCTCAGAGGAAACAAGACTCAGCTTCTTTTGCCTTTGTAAATTCAAGGCATCTTTCCCAGCTTCCTCATACCTGTTCTGAGTTTCTTGGAACTTCAGGTTAAGATCAGAACCATTTTCTGAAATGTCTGGGCTATTTAAATGTTCTGTTTCTGGAATTCTAGACTGGGCCTGAGCTTCCAGGTGCCTTTTTCTGGCTTCAGAATTCTCTGATTTCCTCTGCACATCCTTTAGGTCTTCCTGGAGATACCTCATTTTTACTTCTCTAGGGCTTATCAACTTTTCTTGGGTCTGAGTGGCATTTAATGTAGGCTTCGGCTCCTGAGCCAAGAACTCATTTTGTCTATCTGCTGTTTGCTCAAAATCTGTTTGAGTTGAATAAGATTCTACAGCTGAATCCCCTTCTTTAGGTGTTCTTTCCTGTTCAAAAGAAACACAAACAATTGCACAATAAATACAGGGATAAGATTATGTTTTTTTAGAATAGAGTAAGCAAAGAAACACTACTACATCCTACAGGGAGAGATGATTAAAGAATCATGGAAGAAAGTTTTAGAAAAATTCAAAGCCCAGCTGCTGCCATTTAGTCATCTACAGTGAGAGAAGGCAGTAAGTGCCAAGGTTCTCTGAAAGTCTGGGCTGATCTCCATAAGCTAATAATCAAAGCTATGAAAATTAAAATTGTGCTAACCCAATTGCTAACATTTTTTAGAATGTGGTTATCATAACAAAGTTATTCAGTAATTTATGGAAAAAGTGAGAAGATAAAACACTGATTTAATCCTTTGGAGCAGAGTGTTTCCATGATCTTACCAACAAGCTCGTTAAATTATCTTCAGAGTACAACTAAAACAGTAAGAAGCTCTTTGTTCTGCTCTCAGATTAAGAGAGCATCAGAACAGCACAAAAATATGCCACCTGTAATTTGTCCTGTAGCTCCTTATTGTGTAGTGTCAAAGAAGCAATTTTTGCTTGCATCAACAGCAGTAGGTCTTGTTGGTCAGCTTCAGAACTCACATCCAATAAGCTATCAGCACCTTCAGAGAAAAAAAAAAGATTCAAAAGCTTTCAAAAAGCTGAAATGCTAGCTAGTTAGTTATTCTAACATTTAAACAGTTTGTTGTTCCTATAAATTCCCCAGAAAAGTGTTAAGTTCTCTCAACAGAAGCAGGAGGTTTTGGTGGGAAGCTGCTACTGGAATTACAAAACATTACTCTCAATACTTAGTGTGTCTCATGTTCTAAGCAGAAAGGCACAGAGGATTTCTGATTAGATTTCAACATTTCATGCCACCTAAAATGCCTACCCAAAGATGAAAGTAAGGATTAATTGTATACCTGTTGTGCTGTCACTCAGTCTGTCTTTATTATCTCTATGCAAGGAGCTGAATTCTTCCTGCAAAGACATCAAAAGAAAATGTTCTCACAGAAAGCAGTTGTAAAGTTGAACAGCTCACCAAAAAAGACCTATAGACAGTATAGATCCTGCTGGATAAAGCCTGTCAAAGTGGATTTCTTTTATTTCTGAGGTCCCATTTAATTGTAGCAGGTGTCCAGTATTTCAAAGTCTGTTAAAGCCATTCAAGTTCTACTGCCCAATTCCCATTAAATACTAAGGAAATAGGGGAAACTATCATGTAGATAGACTGAAAGACTGCGGCCCCTGTGACAAATAATAGCAATATATTGACAAGTATTTAAAAAAATATAAAATCTTCAATGCCATAAGGTAAAGATCAGATAGAACACACTCAATTGTTTCCCTGATGTCTTTTTGTAAAAGGGTCTCTTTTTGCACTGCTCAATTCCGTGCCCTTTGCTGGTATTAGAAAATGAACTCTTGTAGCATTAATACTTTCATAACCATATTCCTAACCACGAACTAATCTATGACCATTTCTATATACATATTTGTTAAACTTTAGAGTAATCTGCACTTGCTTTATAAATTACATGTAAATAGATTTGGATTTTTTTTTTGTTCCTAGAAGTCAGCTAATTGGGTCACAGAAGACTCTGCAGTCAGCAAAATAGAATATTAAGCAAAACAGATATTGCACTTTCCTTCCCTCAGCTCATAAGAACAGAACACTGATACCTTGCACACTTGATCAGCAAAGAAAGCCTGCCCTTTTCCAGTCATGGGAGTTGAAGTTGATGAGTGTGGAGAGGACAAGTCATTAAGCTGTAAAAGATTTTTATATAAATAGGTATGTATATGTACATGTGCATATAACTACCTCTCTAACATGTGCTCATATGTACATACACACACACACAAAGAGTACTTTTCCCTGCACTAACATAAGTCACAACTCTAGATTATTTTCAAAGAGCAGACCTAACTATTTAGTGCTCTTCTAAGCCAGTATTACATAAGGATTGTAGCTATTACACAGGTAACATTCCACTTTAAGATTAAACCCAACTGTTAAATAGATTTCTATAGTATCAAAATGCATTTTTTTACTTCTATATGCATATATTCAAATAATAATGTGTACATATATATATGTATAATCAAAATATACAGAATAATCAACTTACTGAAATCAGCAAAACCAGGACAACTTCAACTTGAATTTGAAGAAGCAATTGTACACTAACATTTGCACATTTTATCTTAGGCCATGCTGTATTTCAAGCAATTTTGCTCAGTTAACTTAACCAACATGCACTTTTATGGTATCATCCTAACGTCAGGAAAAGCACTCATAAGACAGGCATATAAAATAACAGTGACAGAGCAAATCCAGCCCACTTAATGTTCAAAACGCCTTATACCCCCTAAAAGCATCTCAAAATTGGTCTTTTCTTTACCTGAATAGGACTGATAGGAGGAGGTGGGGCTTTGCGTTTTTTTGGAGTTCCACTTCTTTCTGAACTTAATTTAGAGCCTTGATCATGCTGAAAGTTTCACCAGCCAGAAAAGGTAGGTTTGTTAGTTTGGTTAGTAAAGTCCGAGCAAGTTGTTTTATTAAAAAAAAATAAAAAATCCCACATTAATATCAACTTTAGCAGCTCATGCAGTGCCTTTTTTTCCTATGTAAAGACCATATCTCTACCAACACAAAGATACGAAACATGCCTGACAATAAGAATCTGCTCCCTTGTAACCCATGCTTCAGTGAAAACAAACAAGATTTAGTGAAAAAGCAGAAGCTGACAACAGGTTTAGCACCAGTGATCTTAACTCCATTCATACATAGCCCACTCATGCCCTTCTTCATGGCTACCATCTTTCCTCTCCACCAGCTTCTGCCTGAGCTCCCTGAAAAACCCACCTCTCACTCAGAGAAGGAATGAACCGATGCACTGCAGCCTCATCTACTTTCCAGCCAGCAGCAGGTCTACAAGGTTTATGTGCACTCACAGGATGGGGTCTCCAGTAACCAGGGATAACCTTCAATTACATGTTTTAGAAACAGGATATTTTTCTACCACTTTCTCTACAGTTTGAAGAGGTGGGGAGTCCAAAAGCCAAGCTCCTGCATTACCCATGAGGAAAGCACACATGCACATACACACTCGCCCTCCCTTCCTTGTCTCACTAAGGGTGCTGGCTGCTTATATGGAGAGAAGCTGAGTCTAAAAGCAATGCTCCTGAAACACATTTCTTAACTAAGCAACAAAAACCTTTTACACAGTAGTCATGGCAACACATCTCACAGTGACATTCACTATTGCTTCCAGTCCTATCAGTTACTTGTTCTTATGGCACAAGTCTAGATAGTCTGAATATTTTCAAAACCAGAAGGACAAATACCTGCTTCGCTTTTGTCGGTGACTTTGTATCTGTGAAGCAGAAAAGATGTGGAATAAATAACAGTTAACAAAGGAAAAGATATTTGCCATTCTTAGCCCACCTCTCAGTTCTACGTCCCATAGCTTGATTTTTGAATTCCTGTCTGAAACGTGAAAAACATAATTTCTAAATGTCATTTGAATCACACTCTTTCTCTGCTACTGCTTGGGTTTCATATTGAGATAAAATCTGAAGAATCACGACAATTCTTATTCTATTAGTCTCACACTATACTTCCACATTAAACTTCCTACTTTAGAAATCCATCTTAGTTTGACCATAAAACCCTCTCTGCCTGCTTTAGTTCCTTCTCCAACCCCTCTGCTGAGAGGCTGTATGGTCCACGGACTCTCTCACCTAACAGAAAACAATCTATTTCAAATTGTATTCAAAACTTCACAATGCTGCTACATCAACTTACCTTTTCTTTCTACAAAACACCTCTTTTTGCCCTTGGGGCTTTATCCCACACTAAATGTTACCATCTATGGCAAAGAGCTTTTGGGAAGTCTCAGCCAGACGATCTTGAAAATGTCTTTTGCAACATTTCAGACTACAGATTGAAGTAAATTTGTTCAGTGCTAAACATCCATGTAGCTCATTCAAGAAGTGACAAGCTGCACATCAGGCTCTCTTACATACCCACATCCTGAGAAAACTTTGATGATAGGAGGTTCTGGATCCCTGTATTCTCAGAGAGCTTGGCGTAATGCAGGGCGTTCTGTCCAAAGACATCTACTAAACTGACATCTGCACCTCTCCTAAGGAAAGCGTCCACCATGTTAAGGTTACCAACTTCACAAGCCATCATCAAAGCAGTTCTGATCAAAACAAAACAAAACAAAAAAACCCAAACCAAAATCAAAATACAGAGAATAAGTGTCAAGAACATACTCTTTAAACAGCTCATTTTTCTCAGGAAAAAAAGTGTGATAGTTATTGTGCAATAAAGTCCCTCCTCCTCTTCCTCGTACTCTCCAGCTGCAAAGACTGGTCATTTCTAAAAACAGCTTCCTGAGGTCAAGAGGAGAGTCATAGGTAGAAATGGCTGCAGGATAAAGTCAGATGAACAAACCTCACTGCTACACTACAATTACAGTGGTGGTACAGCAGGAGAGCTTTTATTTCATTGCTGTTCTCCTCCACATGTTGCTTTTTAAACAAAAGAGACAAACAGATTTCAACAAAACACAAAAAAAACCTCAAAGTGAGTCCAAGAGATGGGTTTGACCTGAAACCCTGTACTACAGTCAGCTTAAAAAAAAAGGAAAACAGAAAAAAAGAAAAAAAACCCACAAGAAGTCCATTAGAGCACAAACCATTCCCTTTCCAACACAGGGTAGCTGCACAATGCCAGACTCTAGAGTAAGGGTAGCATGCAGAAGGAGTCTTTTCCTAACATGT